ACTTACCGGTAGTTGCTATTGTACTGGTAGATTAAATGTATGGTGACAATGCTTGCATGGGACATTTGAGATGAGCTTTGCTTTACTTTATGAACTTTTTTTCAAAAATGTTTTTTGCTGAAATATTTCACTTTTTTTGGTGGGGTGCTGACCAGAAACATAATTTATTTAGATCTTATGCTGTTTTTTCAATCCCTAGGCTATGGACTCAATATATTTCAATGGTTTCAGCGATACAGGAACTGGGTTGGTATTACGAATAGCACGCAGACACAACAATATTGTGGAAATTTGGTTTCTGATTGATATACCAGGAATTGGTAGCTTGCAGCTAGCTCAACACCCTGATAGTATGGTGTGCAATAACTTGAATGAAGGATATAATGCTCTTGGTTTGGAAATAAAACCTGTAGAAGCCATGAAGATATGGAAAATTACTTACAATGGACTTTGCAGGTAATGTTTTGTATCAACTGACAAACTGACCAAACCAGGAAAAGGCTTAAAAAATACAATACGGACAGTATCTTGTTTAAAATACACTTGAATTTTTATTTTTAGAAAATGGTCACTTATCAAAACTATTAAGTAATTTTATTTTATTGTTTTTATTATCCCTCGGCACGTAATGAGGGTTACAAGTGTCTGTCTGTCTGAACATGTATCTGTATAAAATCATATCTGGAGCATTATTGCAGATGGACACTTCAACCAGTGCTTTATTGAAGACATTGCACACTACATCTGATATACATGATTTATGACCATATATGGTCATGTAACCTAATTAAAAATGCATAAATATCTAATTTGAAGCACCATTGCAGATAACGACATTCAACCAGTAGATTAATGAGGACTTTGCACATGCCTTGGTTGATTTTATTAAACTTGGCATGAACATTACACAAGATAGATTGCTCTTGTACATTATTTTGTTTCATGATATGAATTAAAATGGCTGACTGGTGGCCATTTTATGTTTTACAAGTCTTCTAACTGTTTATCAGAGACATTTTCACAGATTTTGTTTAAGGCAAAACATAATGGTTTGCATGTTCTCATGAGTTATTTTGGGATTTCAGTGAAATTTAACTACCAGGAAAACTTGTTCATGATTTTTTTGTGTTTTCTTTATTAAGTGGTTAATTAGATTGCTATGATATTAGTTTTGGGAAGTCAGTGCTAGATTTAATTATTCGTCCCTGAATGACTAGTTCTTGAGGAGTGAAGATTGAAGATTTTAGAACACGATGATCTGCTCCTTATTATGCAAATAAGATACCTGATTGTGTTGTAATTCCACC